CTCTTTATTAGGTTCCCTATACCTAATCCACCCTGCTCCTTAGGGTAACAAACTTGCTCCCATTTCACTAAATGATCTTTCTTTTCTTCACCTGGCTCCCACAAAAGTCCCTCATAATCTTCTCCAATTTCCTAGCTATTTTCACCGGGATCTTAAAGGTGGAAAGGAAACAAGTAGGAAGGTTTGCAAGGATTGATTTTATCAAGGTGATTCTTCTCCCCAAGGAAATATAATTTCTCTTCCACATTGCCAACTTCTTCATGAACCTCTCTACCACAGGTTTCCAGAAGCTTTCAGCTTTCGGATTCCCACCCAAGGGCATTCCTAAGCATTCCAGAGGCCAATTTTTCACTTCACAACCTAGCAGATTTGCCATGGCTTGGATATCCCCCCCCCCCCCTTCAATACTGTTGATAAAAAAATTGATCAGGTTTTATAGAGAAGTTTTTGACTTGCAACAGTTTTTGTTTTCATTGTTTCCAACAGGTCTCCATGTTCAAGAAGAACTATGACCATCTTCTAAAGGATACGTACTTTGGCATGTACAAAGAAGCAACTCGTGGAAATCCAAACTATTTTTTGACTTATGGAAATGGGAAATCAGCTGCTCGGATTCAAGATCACTTACGACCTAATGGAGCCCACAGATGGCACAACTATATGAAGACTCCAAAGTATGTTAATTCTATCTTATATTTGCATGAACATGTATCTATCTCCTTTATATTTATGATGTTATCCTTGGGATTATTCAGTATCATATGTTATATCATCTTAGTTATGTAGTTTTACATTTGTTTTGTTATTTATATATTATATAATTCCCCTTAGCTATGTAGCTTTACATTCATTTTTCTATTTCCTCAAGATATACATTTCTATTCTCTCCTTTTCATGAGTAATGAAGTTTATGTTAGAGGGATGAAGATTTTATAATTATGAAGGAACAAGTGATTGCTAAGAGGGATAATCAAATCACCGAAAGAAAACAAGCAACAACAGTTAAAAGGCAAAGAGTCCCTATTAAATATTATTCCTCTCATTCCAATGTCCAAACATTAACAAGACATTCCCTAGAAAATGAGATATTTTTTAACAAGTCCCTAGATAATGAGTTATTCAATGCAGCACTTGATCTTTCAAATATTAATTTATTTCCACATTCCTTTCCTTCAAGGCTTTTTCCTGGGTTGAATTTGTTAGTTATCCCTTCCTCATCTTTCTTTGAGTAAAAAGATCTCTCTCTTTCTCTAATCAATAGCAAAAATTCTTCCTCGGTTGAATTTGTTGCATATGCAAGAGATATGGCAATTGGATTCGTTGATCAGAAAATGCCTTGGCTTAAGCTAGCTACAAGGGGTAAATGGGTATCAGCTTTTTTGGGGAATTCTGGAACTTGAACTACAATCTGGAAAGAATGAGCTAGGTGGCAGTTCCAGCCTAAAATGGAGTGCTTTGTAAGCTTGTACATTAATCATTCGTTATTCTTTCCAATGAATTAGTTGACCATCAAAAATATTGGTTGCATATGCAAAAGGCTTCCGTTATAACATATATATGCCAATATGACTGCAAACTTGTCTGTCTGGAAACATTTAACTCCCCACTACTCTTCTAGCGATAGTCATGAAGTTAGTGGATCTTGGACCCAAACAAATGAAGGGCTTAATCTGGCACTTAAAGGGCATCCCTCCATGAGATGATAGCTTATTCTCTATGAGCCCCTAAAAATATCTATCATCAATCTTATTACAATCTTTAGTGTTCCCCCGAGTAATGAGTCTTTGAAATTTCCATGATGGAGACTGTTAGCTTTAGGCTTTAAATTAAGGATAAGACCCAGCCCTCTCAGAAACTCTTGATCACACTAGTCCAGTATATTTAAGAATGAACAATCTTTTCTCTCAGTTGCCTGGATCTTGCATTTGTGAAATAGTGCAAATGACTGAATCTGTTGATACTCCTTTGGAAGTCTCTTAGTGTCTCAATAATCTCTTGGTGCCTTAATATATAAATACAAAATTAGCGAGTGATGGTGTAGTACTTTTATTTTATGTTGGTGACATGTGTAATATAATTAATTTTTTATTTGGTAGTGAGATAAAATTGGATGAAGCTGCTGTCCTGCATTACACATACACCAAATTTTCTGACTTGACCTCTAGACGTGATCGGTGTGGATGTAAACCTACAAAGGAGGATGTCAAGAGATGCTTTATGTTGGAATTTGACAGAGCTGTAAGTTTTAATTCCTGCATCCAATTCTTTTTTTAGTCCTCATTTAGTATATGATTTTTTCATTGGTTGAACAAATAATAAGGTAATATGTTATTTATTCCTAAGCTTCATCATTGTTATATGGGTTGCTGAGATAATAATACCTTTCAACAAAAGATTTTGATAGTGAATGAAAATTTTTATTAAAATGAAATCAAGAATATAGGTGAAGGTATAAGAGATCACTGAGGAGAGTACAAGACACTACAACAATTATCATCCTGTACTAAAGGAACTGCATAAGAACCATTCACCAATAAACATTCCAAACCCCCAATATAAGAACAATCCAGTGTTCCAACAGGAAAAGTAGATGCCCCCACCCTTTTGAACCAGCAAAAGAAGCAAAAGGCATACATCATCCCTTAAACTACACCTTAGCATTCCCTGCTTCCAAAAAAACACCTTATAACACATTAGTTTAGTACATTTCTTAGAAAGGATGAGGTGAATATGTACAAGAGTGTGCCAAACACCCTGTATAGGTTATAGTGCTACCCACCCCAAAACATAAGTTATAAGTTTCTTAAATTTCAAGTTTCAAACTTTGCCCTAGGAAAGTTACCCCCCAACACACAAAATAAATAAATAAATAAAATACAATTGTTTCATGTTCATTTCCTGTCTTGCCAAAACATTAGGCATACTGTTGCCTGATTTTAGTTTCCTTTTAAAGGTTACTCCCAGTTCCCTTCCCAGACCTTTTACCTCCCTTATTGCAGTCCATGAATCAAAGGCTCTATTCTATTCTGCATGAACCAGCCCATCACAACTTTACAATCTCTCTCTACCTCTATGTTCTTGTGACTTAAAGATTCCTAATCTTAGTTCATGTAGCATAGCCAACATTGTCTGCCCTTATGGAGTCTCTATATTCAATAGGACCCAAAAACAAGGCTAGTAAGTTCCCATTGTAATCTCTAAATGTACCTTGAATTCCTGAAATTGCTTGATTGCTCCAACTACTTCCATCAAAGTTTAATTTGATTATATTAGCTGGAGGAAGCCAAACTCTATTGTTGATTGTTCTTGCAGATGAAGATTGTGCTACCACATAATAATTCTGTATAATGTCACCAGTAGAGAATGGGTAGAATGGGCTACTCTCACAGTTATGCTCTCAATAAGTGCTTCTTTTGCTTTACTTTATTTGCTAAATATTCTGGTGTTCCTTTTTTCCCATATCATCCATAAAATAACTGCCTTCGTGCATCTCCACAATATCTTTTCCCTCTTCTTCTGTGGTGAAAAAGAGTAATAAAATTCTGCACCACCTTAACTCAGTACCTCCCAAAAACAATACTTCCATAAGTTTCTTAATTTAAGCCACATTTGTAGAATTAGAATTTTTAATTCTCTCTCTCTCTCTCTCTCTCTCTCTCTCTCCCTCTCGCTTCTAATTCCATATTTTTTTCTGTATATTCTTCACCTTCTAATTCCATACCCAGTCATTTTTCCCACTTGAACTTCTCTTTCAATCATTTTCTCAATATCTATCTTTTTATCTACTTGAACCACTTTGTCTAATGGAATACCATCATTGAATTCTTCCTGATCCGGTTCTTTCTCATCTTCCAACTTTGAGCTATTATCAATGTTCTTCAATGAATCGATTAATTCGATTTCAACTGACATTTAACTTCTTGGATATAGAGTTCATAATTTCCATGGTCTGTGGATATAAAAGTCAGTAATCATATCTGAGACTTGATTTGAGCCAACATCCCATTAATAGAAGTCTAGACTCAGAAAGCATACCTTCTGTGGCTTTTCTCATATTGTACACAATTTATTTACTGAAGCAATTATTATTTAAGAGTATATAGATATAAGAAATTGGTTTGTATCAATATAAAAAATTGGTTCTTACAATGATTTGAACTAGAGTAGCAGTGATTTGGACTTTTAAGGGAAGAAAGAAATGCTAGAATCTTCCAACAGGAGAGAAGCAAGCAACAAATTATGGACTGTGTAGTGACCAGGGTTATACATTGGCTATTAACCTTGGATTTGTTTCAACAGTTTTCCTTTGATGATAACTGGAGGAACTGGTATTCAATGGCTTCTAGTTCATTACAGAAGGATAAGATACACGTTAATTGGGCACCTACCATTGGAGGCTTTTTGAAACTAAGTTTTGATGGGAGCAGTCAAGGCAATCCGGGCCCTTCTGGAATTGGAAATGGAGAGGCCATTAGAGATGAGGAAGGTTATGTAGTAGCACTTTACTCAGGACCTGGGTAGTGGAGACTCTTTAAGGGCTGAACTGTATGCAGTCCTACAATGTATTCAGATTGCAAAATAATTGAGCTTGGAGGATCTAGTGGTTGAAGGGGACTCCAAGGTGGTGGTGAGCTGGCTAAAAGATTCAATGATATGGTGCTACAAATGGTTGACACAACACATGAATCTGGTTATACAATGGCTGAGGAGGGAGGCCAATGCATTGGCTGATTCTTTAGCTAAACAAGGGGTAATTAGGGAACAGTTGTACTGGGCTCAATTGTAATTTTTTATTTGAAAAAAAATTCTAATTTTTGTGCTGTTCTTTCTTTTAGAGTGAGGGGGATGCTTATAACCAATGTTTTAAGACTCAGACCAGACACAAAACTGGAATGTGTGCTGGGTCACAGGTCAAACGGTTTGACCGTGAGTCAAAAAAATACAAAAACTAAACTTTGTAATTTATAATTCAATTATAAGTGGCAGCTGAATGTTAAAGCACTGCTTTCAACATAAATGACCAGGGTTCAAGTCTTGGTACTTTGTTTTATTGAAAATATATATGTATTTATACAATAAAGTGAATGATAGCTTAATGGTTGGTCCCTTATAGGTGTAAGTTTGAGGTCTTAGGTTCAAGTTTTCCTATTTGCATTTTTGAGGTTTATAGGTGTAAGTTTGAGGTTTATATGTATTTATACACTTATTTGCACTTATAGGTGTAAGTTTGAGTCGTGGAAACTGGTTGGATCGTTGAAACTCAGCCAGTTTCAACGGTTCCACTGGGTTTTGACTGGCTCTTCCATTTTTTCAAAATATGAAAACCGGAATGCCTTCTGGTTACCGGGTTGAATGGTCCAGTCTGAGTCTTAAAACATTGCTTGTAATAATAGTTGCTTATTTTTATTGATGTCAATGAAATTTAATGAATTTGTCAAAAAAAAGTAGTTCTTACAATCCCATTGGTTGTTCAAGAAACATTTCTATCTGCACAATTTTGTTTATTTTGAATTATATGTTGTCTACCAATTATTGGCCTTATTAAAGAAATACCTGGCATTGCAGGCATTCATAATTGCCTCAACTGCAACAGAGGAGGAAATGCTCCACTGGTAATATCCAACTTGTATATGCTTTTTCCCTTGTTTGCCATTCTGTTTCCAATTTTAAGCCATTCTATGGTCTTTTTGAACAAGAACCATTCTTTTTCAATTCCTAATTCATTTTAAGCAGATAGGAACCCCAACAAATGAACTTTGTAATTGGGACGGCAGTATGTCTTCAGAAAACTAAGTTATACACAAGGATGAAAACCTACTGTTGGGAAAATGCACTGAAATTAGTCTCTGCTTCTCTTATTTTGGATTTGTTTTTTTTGTTTTGATTTTCTGAATATTCTTTCTATTAGGTACCGTGAGCACATTGTATGGACCGATAAAACACTTAACACGAAACTTATGAGGAAAGGCATATTGACCCGCATATATGCTCCTATGGTAAGCTTGGTTATTGAAACATTTCAAGTGGAAAGTTAATACCAATTGATATCACTGCTTGCTCTTAACTTGGACATAATTAAGCTCCCTCACTTCCATTTTATTTGATTTATGCTACTTTTTCTCTTCTTAATTTTGCATATCCATGGATCCATGCATGTTTCTGTGGTAGTTTGTCCAGGATTCCTGATTCTTCGTTGTTGCACTTGCTTATATATAGGCTATTGTTCAAGGTTTGAGGGAATCTGGTATCTTCAGCTCTGTTATTGCCTCTGCTCAAACAACTCTCTCAAAGGATAAGTTTTTATCTTCCATCGAGAGCAGTAACTCTTCCAGAGTCATGGAGTCTGTTGCAATTTCATCAAGAAAGATTAGTGGTGGAAGAGAATCTCAGGCAACTGGTCGGAAGGTCTTGGAGACAATAGATACTGCACATACAGCAGCAGTTCCACCATTGTCTCCCCCAGAAATGGATGATTTTCACAAGGAAACGTGATGGATCTGCTGAGTATTGTTTCTTGTCTTTCTATATGACAGGCCTGAAAATTATATATTTCATGTATATCTCATTCCCTGTGAAGGCAAGAATCAGGAGAGTTAGCAGTCGAGATCTTCCCGATCATTACCCAAGCGCTGATGTACATTTCAGGTGTAGTCCAGAGAGAGACAGAGTGAGACATACAGGCTTATTTTCATGTTATTTTTTGGGCATTTTTGTTGCCCACTGGAGGTTGCAATCACAGGACTAGACCTGTCTATTGTTATGTATAAAAGTTGAAAATGGTTTTGTTGTACTTTCAATTACTCGGAGACTGGCGGTTTTCCAGTAATATACTGTCGTTTATTGTTTTGAACTAGAAGAAATAGACCTGGCAGAATCTCCTCATTGTTGACTTCAAGCTAATTGTAGTGCCCCAAGTTGTTAAATTAGGGAAAATTTTTCGCTTTAGATATACAATTTTTTTCTCTCAAACAAGAAATACTGTTGTTTTTGTGTTGATATTACCCAGGTTCAAAGATATTCTGGAATTGCTTTCTAGTCTCTGTTTAGGAAAGAGTGCAAATACAAATATGTACGGTGTAAAGACAAAAGCTGAATTTTCATGAACCTTGCATATTTATATTTGCACTCTTCTCAAATGGAGCCCTGGTCTTTTTACTTTTTTAGCATTTCTTGTTTGAGAGTTCATACATGGGATGGTTCACCAAAACGGTTTTGTTTCTGGATAAAGGACATCCCGACACAATTTCAAAGAGGTATTTAAACAATGAAGAGGCAAAGGTTGATAATCAAAAAAAAAAAAAAAACTGCCTTTCAGGGTTGTTTGGAAAGCCATCCTTCTTGGTCAATGAAAGATAGACTTGTCAAAGCTCGCAACTCCGATCTGCTGAGCTTCTTTTCCCATGCCACCCTGTTAGAAGTAATTGACCCTGGCCCTCTGCAATTAGCCTCTGCGTATGTAAACCTGTCTCTGAAATTATAGCACAAGAGGATGTTATTTGAAGTAGCTAACCAGTGTTCTGATAAAAATAGCAGAATCTTAAGCAGTGAGATCTGAGATGAGAGCTTACTCTTGGCCCTTGTAGTTCCAGGCATCCCATCCTTCTGGAACCACAATTCCAGACATTGCCGTATTGTGAAATATGACTCTGGAATAAGGTCCATAGGCTCTTCCAAGATAGACTAGACCAGTCCCACTCAAAGCACACATGTTGAACACAAAACCAGTTGGTTCATCTGCTGAGAATCTACCTTGTGCTGTTACAAAACCTGGTAAGTCATTGCTGTACCTCAGGTTGCCGGCACTGACGTTGAGATAACATTTCTATGTAAAGAAAATAAACATAGAAAGAACCATCAATTGACAGTCGGTGTTGATAAACTTGAAGCAGAACATATCTAGATCTAGAATATGATAGTATGGCCATGGGATCTTCTGTAAGTTCTTTGAAGCTGCTCTAAAAAGAAATAAAGAAAAAAAAACTTGGTCCACAAATGGTTTGAAAAAAACATGTTATTTTTCAAGACAAGCACATAAAAATGTTAAAAAGTGAAAAAGAAATGCTTCCTAGAATTTCTAGTTTTTCAAAGACATTATTTCTAGTGGTTTTGATTGTGTTTCATTTCATAAAGCATATAATAGTGACTCTAATTTCAATGAATATTAATTCACTAGTTTTATTTTTTATTTTTTGTTTAATATATATTTGTACATTGGACCCATATGAGAGCTTGAAAGCACTGGTAAGAGGGTCTATAGGAGGGTTGCAAATTGGTCTAGGTTGGTCCAAACTGAACCTGAAAAAGTCGAAAGGTCGGGTTGAAGTTCAGGTTATGATTAGACTTGTTCATGGGTTGGGCTCGGGTTTGACTTTTACTAAAATTTGAATGAACCTGATTCAAAGTCCAAACCTGATACAGTGTTAAATTAGGCCCAAAGCCCAGCCCGTAATAGGTCTAATTGGAATTAGAGTCAGGTTGAAAAGTACAATCCCAACTTAACTTTAGATTGGGTTAAGGTTGAGGCCTTGGCCAACCCGAATCTTATTTTATCTTTTTTTTTTTTAATTTATTACTAAACAAGAAAAACAAACTCATTAGTGTTAGAAACATCCCTAGATGATTTGCTTCAATTCATAGTATCACATTCTTTTCTACCTCATAAATTGTCTGGCCATTGCCGAAGATGAAATCAACTGCGCCTTCAATATAGCATTCTTTGAAGTAGTGTCGGCCTTGGACATCCCACAATGTATCTTGCAGTCCAATGAAACCACACCGATAAAAAGCCGATTTATCCCCAATTATTTCAGCTGCAACTGCCTGCCTTCGATTGCGGTCGTCCGAATTGGCCGATATTACGGGACGGTTATATCCATTCTATAAAAAAAATGCCAAAGACAAATTCATCCCAGTGAGTGGTGAGTCAATCAATCGTGTTCAGATCTCAGATCTCTTACCCACAAGAACCCTACCCACAAAACATTATATCTGTACATCGAAAAAAACATGTCCCTGTAGACGGACAAGGAGATGTGACTGGATCTGTCAATTGATCTGAAACTGAACCGACCAAATTGATTCTAGTCCGGATCATCTGCCAACAAAATACGTCCCAATACCCTCCCAACATGATCTGCTACCCCACATCTGATACATGGTGGGTCTCAAGTCACATAGTGAGATATGCAGTGTGAGATCATATTGGGAGGGTATTGGAACGTGTCTTGTTGGCAGGTGATCCCAACTCGAACATAAATGGGCCAACCATCCATAGAGGTTCTGGGGCATAGGGGCGATCATGGTTCTATGATTTGTGTCCCGATTACTAACGGACAGTAAGTATATAAGATAATTTTGGTTTACTATTTTTACATTTTTCTTAATGTTATACTATCATAAATGAAGCTCTAAGCATAACCCACATAAGGTATGATTAATAGCTATCTATCTTAAAGAACCAATTAATAATCAATTCGGAACTGATCAAACTGATTCACCTTGTCCCAACCAGACCCAACCGTTTGACACTCCTAGATATGGCTTAATAAAAATTTAAAATCCTTACAAGAAGAAGCTAAGAAAGAAAGAAGATAAAATTATTTCACCTGGAAGGTAATATCTTTTGCAACAAGATTTTCAGCCCATGAAGTGAAAGTAGCACTAGTATTTGTCATGTGATGAGCTTGCCAAAAGATCCTAGTGCTTCGACTGCTAGCTCCTTGAAGGAGTATGCAGGGCTTATCCTCAGGGACAAGTATTTTCTCTCTATCACACACAAAGAAGCTTGATTGTAAGCTAGAAATAAAACCAATGTTGAGTGTAATCTGCATTGGCTACTAGTAGCCATAAAAAAGAGAGAAGATCATAATAATTAAGAGAAAAAAAAACAATTACACATAGGTCCCTGAGTTGACAAAGATACGAATCCATTGATCATTGCCAGAAGGTATGGAATCAATGGCATCTTGAATCTTGACGAAATTCCCACTGCCTGAGGTATCCACAGTGATTGTATAAGCAACTTTGGATGGGTCTGCAGCATTTATCTTACAGTCTGAAGCTCTACTTGAACCAGAAAGTATGAGAATTGTTGCAGAGATGAATAGGAACAAGAACAACTGATGGGTAGACGCCATTTCTGGAGAAGCAGTGGATCGATCCTTAGGAGGCTCTGTAGGATGAAGCTGCACAAGTGTTTCTGTTAACGGAGCTCAGACACTCTTTAAAGAATAAGGTTGGTACGAGATAAAATAGGAAACACTTCAATGTTATAATAAATGTCTTACTTGGTTATGGAAGGTTGAGATACTGTGAGCTAGACAAGAATTAAGGAGGAACCACTCAATTGCATTACAGGCTGTGGAAGTCTATCAATGGCAAGTGAAGTATTTCCAATAGGAAATATTGTATTGACACAATCAATGTGGTTTGGCTGGCTGGATTTCTTGAATTACAATGAGCTGTGTCACAGTTCTCTTGTAAGTTGTAACTGATCGATCAATAATCTATGCTACTTTAATCCCAGTGTGTTGTGTGTGTTGTCTGTGTGTGTATATGTAATATGAAATGGTACAAGAAAGTTCATCAACTACTCTACAGAATGGGACTGCTGTAAATAATTACAAACTGATGGTCGCCATAGGGTCTATCACCACTTTACATGTCCATGCTCTTGATGATAAGAAATCAAACAATGTCACTACATAATTGCGTAAATTACTGGAATGCCCCCTAAAGTTAAATAATTGCAATTATCTCCCCTGAACTTTCTACACAGTTACAAGTAGACCTTCGCCTTTAGAATCCTCTAACAAGAGGCATAAAATGTTCAAAATACCCATGTAATTATTATTGAGGCTGTTTTATACAAAAAAAAAATACAAACTTTATAAACAGCAACAAAAAAAATGGAGAATTTAAAATTGCAGTTTCACCTCTGAGCGATTGATATCAAGGGGAAATTAAATTTGGAAAATAAATCAAATTCAGAAAAGAGTTTAGAAGGATTTGGGCTATTGATTTATATGAAGAGAAAATTTGGAAAATAAACTGGTTAAAAGCAATTGCATTGGTCTTTTAGATATTTTTATGCCTCTTTTTAGAGGATTCTAACAAAGGTGCATGTCTAATTGCAACTATGTCAGAAAATTCAAGGTAGATGATTACAATTGTCAAACTTTAGAGGAAGTTTCAACAATAAACCAGAAACTTCAGGTGAGGTTTCAACAATTTACCCTACATAATTTACCATGGTCCAAGGTCTACTTCAGCATCGCCATAGGGTTCTATCATCACCACTGTACACCTTAGGTCCAAGTTCTTGATGATCATGAATCAAACAATGTCAATACATAATTAACCATGGTCCAAGCTCTTGAGATTATAGATGAACTGACGGAATCATAGAGTACTCCAGGGCTACAACTAGAAAAAGGGTTGGATTGAATTTAAGTATCAAACTACTCAAGGAGTCTGGAAAGGGTTTTGTTTCCAATCACAGGAGCAGGTGAAGGTGATGTGTCATAAAGAACTACCCTTGTTTGAGATGAAGTCAAACTGGGTTTGCATCACATGCAGGTGATGCAAGGAGTGTTTAAGATGAAGGTGTCATTCTGAGCTCAGATTTCCTACCCACAAGCTCTTCCCATATCATTACCCACAAGACACTATAGGTGCACACTGAAGGTGTCATTGTGGAATTCGGATCTCTTATCCACAAACTCTTCCCACATCTCTATCCACAAACTTTTCCTATACAATTAGGACCTATATGTTTTTGGGATTTTGAGAGGAGGGAGAAATTGATTAATGGGATTTTGGTTTTCATTGATCAAGATATCCATGTTCTTTTTTCAGATTTAGGTGAGGTTTATGAAAAATTTATTTTTCTTAGGCACATCACTTTATCCTCCTAGGTGGATAAATAACTTTCCCACCTGGGAGGAAAGTTGTCAATACTTGGATGGGACAAAATTATCCCTTTTAATAATAGTTTTTTATTACTAAAATAGTTATTATCTTATTTACTTGGGAAATAAAAAAAAAACATGGTTAAATGCGTTTACCCAAATAAATAATTTCCAGAAAAAACAAACAGGACCTTAAAGGTATCATTGTGGAGCTCGGATCTCCTACTGCTGTAATTGGGAACAGTAGTGGTGGGCAGGGATGTCTTGTGGGTAGGAGATTCGGAGTGTAATAACACCTTGGGCCCATTAAAGTATTTTACAACTGTATGGCCTATAAGAAAAAGATTTGTATGCTTAATTAACATTTTTAAGTACCAAATCTATAGTTTTACCAAAAAAAGTACCAAATTTATAGAGAAAAGAGCTGGGAAAAAAAAGAAAAAAATTTATTTTAGGACTACAACTTTTGAACTTCACAGGATATAAAAAAGGTCGCAATTGTTGCATAGCATTCAAATTTGAACTTCACAAAAGTTGTTAAGGCTCGTTTGTTTTTAGTTCAAATCTGAATTGGATGCAAAATTGACACTCAATTTAATTTTTCATCCATTTATTTACAACTATAATTTGCACTTTTATTTTATACAAAATGTGGACTTTATGCTTCATTTGCACTGATTGACAGCATAAATTTTTTGCATCTAAAATACTGATTCAAAATTTGCACCACCTTCCTCCCACCATGACTCTCTCTCATATAAAATAGGGCCACATGGTCACATCATTTATTTTTTTCTTATCTTACTCCTCACAAAAAGATAACCTTCCTTTCATTTTGTCTTCATTCTCTTTCACAAAATAGGATTACATTGGTATGTTTCCTTGCAGTGAAAATTTCATCAAATGTATTTAATAGATATATAATACAATTAATATTATATATTAATTGTATATAATATTGCATTTCTATATATTTTCTATCGCCTATGTTATATGCTCCATATATAATACAATAATACATATATTTAATATAATTAATACATATTGTGTGTATTGGTCTCGAGAAGGTCTATTATCGTATCAGACAATCTTAGACTTATCCTCTATTCTCTTAACCATCCTTACCTCTTCATCTCTTCCCCTACTTTGTTGAGTTCAGATCTACTACCAACAAAATGCTGCTAATATATCCCAACTGGCAATTATAATCATACATTGGAAATATCATCCCATAAATGACAAGAGATGTTCTMAATGTACAGCTTCAGGATCTACTATCCACTATTTGTTCCCACATCTATACCCACAGAATACCGTAGCCACTATTTATTTCCATATCTATCTATACCCATAGAACATTGTTGCCGTGTTTGGGAACATCTCCCTGTAAATTAAAAGGGAGATATTCCCAATGTGCAGCTGTTATGTCCCATCGGTAGGGATGTGAGAACAAATAATGGGTAGCAGATCCGAGCCCAATGTGCAGCTGCAATTCAATGTGGGTGGAGAGTTGTGGGCAGCAAATCTATAATGCTTTTATGTTATGTTAGTATTTTGCATCAGGTGTGTTATATTTGTATCCTATGCATCTTCAAATCACTATAATTTATTGGCTCTGGAAATCAAGAATGCTTGGTCAATCATTGTCAAGGCTAAATCCCAAATCTAATTCAAACAATTTAGGAAGATCATATTTTCTTATTGTGATATTTTTTATAGAAAGAAGGGAATAAATTCATTTTTCAATGCAAATTAAAGAACTATTGAATTTTTTATGAACGATTTAAGGGGTATTTGGCATGGTGGCATTGCGTATAGGGGTGTAAACGGATCGAATCCAATTAGAAAATCCGATATTCAAATTTGATTCGATTCGAATTCGACCAATTTATTATTTTAGGTAATTAATAAATATATAAAATTAATATTTTATTTATATAAAGTATATAAATATATAAATTATATAAAACATTTAAGTATTTTATATATTATATAATAATAATTAAATAATCGGTTGAATTCGGATATTTATCGAATCGAATTAGGTCATATCCGAATTCAACTGATTAGATATTTGAATTATTCAAATTCAATTTGATTATGTTGAATCTCGAACTCGAAATTGGATTTTTGAATACCGTTGATACCTCTAATTGCGTAGTGTCCTATTGATAGTAATCCAAATTGAACCTTTCTTTCCATTAGTGGTCCAACTAGTAGGGACCCGTGCGATGCACGAGCTTTGTTAAAATAGTTTCAAGCAATAGAGCTAGGGGTGCAAGTTAGGTGTACCCAATTCAAGCCTCACCCAATTCAATCAAAGCTTTTGCATAGGTTGGGTTTGAGCTTTTGAACTTTAAGATGGCCTTGAGCCAAAAAAACTCAAGCCTAAACTAAAATCAGATTGGGCTTAGGTTGAGGCCTCGGGTATATATATATTATACCAACCTATTCTATTTAGAAATTGAGCTACAAATTTCAATATGCCCAAGCCCAAGCCTAGCCCAAGAACGGATTGGCAACAAAGTGGGTTCGGGGAGGGTTTTGTAAATTCTAGACTTTGCCTGCCTAGTGGGTTGGATTTTGAGAATCCAAACCCTCCCTACACATAAAAATGAAAAATCCTCCTTTGTTCAATGGTAGGGGTGGGTTGGGTTTAAGACCCACATATACTTTCCTATTATTTCTTATTATATAAAAGCAATAAATAAGTAAAATAACATAAATAAACAACAAAATTTTCAATTATTTGATTAAGATGTAAAATAACACATAAACCATCAATTATCCTTTACAGCTAATTCAAAATATTATTAAATTCAATACCTAGTACATAAAGTTTATATGCTTTCCAACAATATGTAGGTTGAGGGAGTCGGGTTTAGCCTAATACTGTGCCCTACCCATTAACGTATGGGTTGTAGAATCCCAAAACCTGACTTGCCCCAAAATTCATCCTTCAAACAAAAAACCCGACCTACTCTACCCTACCCATCGGATAAGGTAGAAATTTCCATCCCTAAGTCTGAGATCCTTAGTTAAGGTTGAGTTGATTCTAGGTTGGTAAGCTCAAGCTTAACCTTGAATTGGACCAAGCTTGAGCTTGAGGTTTGAGACTAAGGATTGGATTGACCTTCAACCCGACCCAACACACTCAAGTTGCACCTACCAAGGACCCGCGCGTTGCACAGGCTTTGTTAAGCGAAAGCTAAACAATAAAAGCACAT